GTTAACCTTGTGTTGCTGGTCCAAGGTCAAAACAATAATTTTTTCCTGAAAGTAAACTGAGATGTAGGTGAAATAGATGAACAAAAATGTAAGGCTAATATTGAGGACAGTGAAATCTTCTGTTGTCTGTTCTGAAGTTAAAAAGTAGTTCAGGTTGCTAATTATACAGTATTAATTTATAAAATTTAATGAATTATTAAAGAACCAGTGTGATTCTGTGTGGAACATTGACATGGGAAAGGTTATAAGTTTGGAAACATGGCACAGTTTGCTTCATTTTACCTTATTATAACTTTTAGAGTGAAATTCAAATATTCGTTTCTTCAAATGTTTTAGGTATAAGTTTCAAATTTACTCATGTCTGTCCTTGTACCCCATTTGGACATGAAGTGTTACTTATTGTGAAATAATACGAACACTCGATTAATTTACAAATTTATTAATCAATTTGGAAATAATTTGGATTTACTCGTGTATTTAACATGTTCCTGTGAAACAATTTTCTTTTATCTGTCGTGCCACCACAAATTATCATATATTGGTTTGAAACTGACGTCGATCTTTTTCCAGCGTATCGCAGTTCCTTGGAGAAGGATTTGTCAGGTGACACTTCGGGAAATTTCAGAAGACTTTTGGTTTCGCTCTGCACTGTAAGTTAATGTGTTCCACAATATGTATATAAAGAAATCTTAAACATAATTTCTCTGTTATTTTATTGTGCATAAATTGTGTTTAATATAAAAAAGATGGAAACATGTTTTATTTTCTGACTCTGCTCTGTACTTAATGAGATGAAAGGAGTTCTGTTAGATACGTCAGATTTCTTAATATCCGGGTGATAATGTTTTGTCTTGCAGAATGAAATGTGATTGGTTCTGGAATAGTTATAATTGGTAAAATTTTGGTATGTAAAGTAAGTTACTCGATGTATTCTGGAGGTGTGTTTGAATCTTGCCTAAGATTTTCTTTGCTTTCTACAGGGTTCTGGGATAATAACTAAACACATAACACGTTGTGACCTGGTTTCTTAAATTTTTCTCATAATTTTATAAAAATTGACAATCACAATACCAAAAGCAACAACAACATAAAAATGTCATAACTCTGAAACAGTGGTGAATTAAAAAAAGTATTTAAATTTTTTGCTCCAAGTGACCTCCCCAATAACCTCCTAAAGTATTGTACTACGACTTCAAATCACCCTGTATATTTGAACATGTACTGCCAACCAGTGATTTATTTGTCATGACTATTAAAGGGAGTTTGTGATTGCAGGGAAATCGTGATGAAAGTTCTACTGTAGATCAAGCTGGGGCTGTGCAGGATGCGCAGTCTCTGCTAAGAGCTGGTAAGTCTTCTGTGATTATCATCATCACCGATACTTCTATTCCATGGATTATTGTTTGGGAAAAATATTTTTACCCTGTGTTGTCTTTCCTTTATTGTCTCTTAATGTATTTGTCTGCATGTCATCGTCACGACAATATCAGTTTGTGGGGTTCCTGAATAGAGGCTTTTAAAGTTCTCAAGGTCATTTTTCAAACGCATATTTCTGCCGATCAGTAGGAATCTGAGTGACAATACTCGTGTATTTCCTATTAGATCTGTGGGAGATAGGATTTGAAGGCGATTGGATTTTGTTGGAAATGGAGTGGTTGAGTGCTTTGGTTAGTTCGGTGATGAACTTTTGGGTTCCTTAAGCCAGCTAGTTCATTAGTTTCATAATGTTTATGTACATTTAATTCTCCTAATTTGGTTGGAAAGAAAGGTGTGATATGAAATTATTTTTACCGTGGTATTTTGTGATATTCCGAGGCAACTAATAATTAATGGTCTGTTGTGATAGGTGAGTTACAGCTTGGAACAGATGAATCAACCTTCAATGCCATCTTGTGCTCTCGCAGTTATCCGCAGCTTCAACAGATCTTCAGTGAATATCAGCGTCTGACAGGGCATGACTTTGAAAAGGCCGTAAAGAATGAATTCTCGGGAGACATAGAAACAGGCTTGCTTGCGATTGGTAAGTAAGACTTTAGAATTGAACCTTGTAGAAAGTGATGACTTTTTAAACATAGTCACAGAAGGGAAGATAATATTTAAATGGATTTTGAAGTGTGTGTTGTTATTTTTTCCGAGGGGGGGAGTGAACTGGACTGAACTAGTTAATAGAAACAAAATGTTAGCCTGTTCTAGTGATATCGATGAACTTACTGGTTCCATAACAAGGAATTGCTTAATCTTTTAATAAAATATTCGTACAGTGGTGTTGCGTCGGTACGTATGGTTTAGTGGAGTAGATGGTTGTGTTTTAGAGAGGTCAAGCGACCCACCATTTTCATCTTTCTTCTTGGACTAGTTGCGATGAGATATTGTTCACAAGCCAAGCTTACGTAGACAGAATAAAAGTGAATACGTCGAAGTGTTCTTTAATTGTGATTTGTCTTTTCAGTGAAATGCGTTCGCAATAAGCCGGCCTTCTTTGCTGAGCGTCTTTATGAAAGTATGGCTGGCATGGGGACTAAGGACCGGGCTCTTATTCGCATTATGGTGACTCGCTGCGAAGTGGATATGGTTGACATAAAGAATGCTTTTCAGGCTAGATATGGCAAAACACTGGAGAGCTTTATTTCAGTAAGTGGAAAAGTTATATTTTTGCAAGTAATGAGAATACTGCAGTTATTATAAGACAAATTGAACCAAGTTGAGAAAAGAAAAGAAAAAAGTAATTATGTACCTAGTTAGATATTATTTGGTCTTTGTAATGGGTTTATATTTCACCGATGTGTCCCGCATTCGTGACGGTCGTGATATATTGTTGTCAGCTAAATTTTTCTGTAAAATGATGCATTGTTAATTCTTTCCAGGAGGATACATCAGGAGACTATAAGAAGTGCCTTCTTGCTTTGGCGACCCAGTGAGATGGGTGGTGACCTCTCAAGTCTTTTACTGTACCTGGCTGTTATTTCTTTTTCCTAGTTAAATGTCTTTATTATAAGCCAGTTTAAAATTTACTTAAGTACTAAGTATTCTATCAGATGTTTTTCTGTTTATATATATATATGCATATACATATATACGCACATTACGTTTCTGTGTGTGGTGTTTGAATATTTTACTGTAATTTTGCGCAGTATTATGGGTACTTAACATTTCTGAAGAGTGTTAATCTATGGAGAGAATGTTATAAAAATATAATGTTAATTTTTTTACGAATTCTATCTTTGCTATCTTTATTATTCAGATGTACAAAAATATAGATCTGTTTCGTAGGGATAAATACAGCTTGTGCAAGGCATTTGTTTTCTAGGGTGATTAGCCAAGAAGATGTGAGGTAGTATACTACCTGTTTTGAGAAATTATTATATTTTTATTCTAGTTTTAAGATGTCATCTTTACAATTCTTTCCTGATTGAGTCACACGTTTAAAAGGTTATATTCCATATTAGCACAAAATATTGTTGTCTGTCCATTTTATATATACTGTATTTTGACCCAATGTTGAGAAACAATTTTTTTAAAGCAGTGAGAACACCATAAGAAAGCGTAAACACAATTTAAATTATACCACCTGGAGGAAATAGTACGGCCTAGTTGTTAACACCATGCAATAGACCCTCATTATGCTGTGGATTTGGTGGCAGCTTCAACATTTAATTATGTGTAAAAACATTTATCTATCTTTTTCCATACTTGCACCAAACGACTTGACCATACAGTCAGTTAAATAACTTGCGGCAGCAAATATGGAAGTTTCAGAAAAGTTAAAACATACTTTATAGTGATTTACACAAAATAAAATTTGACTCTCATTGAGGACATGTCCGTATCCACAGTATAAAGAGGCGCATAAAAATATCTGCTATACCTTTTCTCTCAAATATCAGAAATAAGAGGAAATGTACTGATTTTTCATTCACCTGAAATTAATGCACTATAATCTTGATTATTTCACGTTTTGGGACAGTACTGATTAACTTTGGTATACAGTTATATCATTTCAGGTCCAAATTGTGTCTGGTAATTTGCAGGAAGAAATCCAAAGGTAATTGATTATTACAAACGGTTGTACTGGTTATGCAGTAAATTACTGAGAAGTCATTATTTATATGATTACGATTGTACAGGATAAATACAGCAGAAAAGTTGTCTCCAAGATGCAGTAGATAGCAAAGAAAGTTAGTGGATGCTTTAGAACTTGTTTACCACATTTTCCACGGAAAGTGCTGCATAAATTTGCATATTACAATCTGTTTCGTTATGAAATATGGGCATGCCTTACTATCCAGAAACGTGCTAATATTTTATGGATAAGTTATTTTTCTAAATGGTAAACTGTGGAGACACTTATGAAAAAACAAAACAACAAGTTCCAGGATGTAATTGTTTAAGAATGTGTAACTTGATATTTTTTTATTTATATTTCCTTGCTAGAATAATTATTTTTTAGAAGTTTAAAACGAGTTTAAATTTTTGTACAAGTACAATTTAAAAATGGTCAAATGTATTTTACAGCTGAACAGAGTTTATTAATCTTTATGTGCTGTTTGGCACAGCTTTTGCGTGTCTCCAGTTGGCCATGCATTGCAGTTGCATACCAATAAGATGTTAAACTCTGGAATTAAAATCCTTTGGGCATCTCTAGTACTGAGCTTTAAATCCCCTGTTTCCTTGTGCCAAAGGTAAAACTATTGCTTATTGTGTTTGAAGAATTAAAACCTGTGTGTGCCTTTTCATAAATTTGACTTCCATCATATTCAGTCGTCAGGTTAAGTATCTGTGTAAGCTAATGAGTTAAGTCCTAAGTGCATGAGATTGTATTGTATCTATGTAGCTTATTAAAGTTTCCAGTCAGAATGCACATATTGCTCTTTTATTTCTTCATTCATATTCAATAATTGTATGTAAATATTAATACCTTTGTAACCTCAAATTGCATGAAAAATTTATTTACATAAAATGCTGTTCTAGAGCAGTAATTTTTTGTGAAAATAGCAAAATATTTTAACCTCTGCAGTGAAACATGGCATGCTCCTGGATGCTGTAGTTTAAAAATAGATGAAGCAGAATTGTATCATTTTAATGTACGTAATGTGTCTGACATTTTCTGGGCGACCCTGGCTGGGGTGTGCGTGAGGGTGTGGTCAGGAAATTGGATTGAAGTTGGCGTTGTTACCGACTGAGTTCTTGGCACTAGCTGCTACTATTCATTATTGCCAAATCTAACCGCCAGATCGTTTATCTTTCAAACGCTTGGGGATATAAGGTATTATTATGCGTGACGTCATGAAAATCGTTTTGCCAACTTCGGAGATCGATGCACATTCACATTGGCAGTGCTGAAAATCACAATTTGTACATCAATTACTGTTAGTGTCTACCTCCGAGGGGGTTTGAGTATCAAATGTTATGGAGATAGGGTTGAGAGATCTGAATAAAATTTCTTTTTAGTGAGAATACTTAATAAGAATATACCAGGTAATGTCTGCCATATAGTGCACTGCCAAAGAAAATTTATAGGCATAGTACTTAAAAAGTTCTGCAGGAGTAGTTTATAAATTTTGGTAGACTTATCCCATCCTGTCAACACTTTGTTGATAACTTATTTACTAATTGTAAATAATACACCAATTTATTCTCTTGTGGTAACTAAAGAGATACGTATTGCTGTATTACAGGTGCCACTAATTGTATATTCGAAATATTTTGTTTACCGAAATAACCATAGTAGAACTAAAATTTTGCTGGAGAGAGTTGTGTGTGCTACCTTTATCACGCTGTAGCACAGGATTTAAGTTTCCATACTATGGGACTGCTAGCTGGACTCTATGTTTAGCTGTATGCAACTGCCACACATTGGCCAATAAATGTTGGTTTTGTAACTATATCATAATAAAATTCTGGAAAAAAGTTTTGGTTTCTTTCTCCTTTAGGACCTTTGTTTAATTCCAGAATGGTATTCAATGTTGGTGGTCGTCAGAATGTGAGGATTTTGCTTGTAGGGGAGAGAAGTGTTGGCAAGACTTCCATTATTTTATCATTGGTTAGTGAAGAATTTACAGAAGATGTGCCAGCAAAAGCTGAAGAAATTACCATTCCACCAGAGGTCACACCTGAGAAAGTTGCCACATGCATTGTGGATTACTCAGGTATCATACACATACATGACTTGTTATTTGCTCTTTTGTAGTGGTACTAGTAAATTGTCTGCTGGGAATGATGAGAAAATCTAAAACAGTAAACACATTCAGTAACCTAGTATTTATCTAGCCATCTGTAACAAGGTTCAGAAATTATATAAATCATTATATAGGCTTTCATGCCTCAGGGTATGGATTTATTGATGAAAAAGGATTATCAGTTTTGTAAAAAAAATTCCATTGTCATTCATATTTGAAGCTTTGTTAGAATTTGCTGTTTTCTGATATTACATTACTTTGGTTGTGGCAGCATCTGTCAGACTCTGCCGGCCCTTACAGTTTGTTCAGTCACAGTTGAATCTTCACATGCGAGCAATTTTCTTTTTTTTTTTTGTTGATTCTGCTGACACAGTGACTAGTATTTTTCTTCTTGAAATACTGTGAAGAATGCTGTACAGTTTACTTTGGGATATTGCAGTAAAGTTTGCTACCGTTTGAACTGCATCTCATATTTTAGTGGGGGCAGGGGAGAGGAACAGCGAATGAATATTTAATGTTAGTTTCCATATTTAGGAAGTTAGAATTTGTATGTACTATAACCCAATAGAAAAGAATTTACGAACATGCACCACTGAATTTTGCAGCTCACCATTTGTCAGTGGCTGATCAAGACTCAAACCAGACTGTCATTTCTGATATTTTCTGCATTTCATATTAAACAAGATTTTTTAATGCAGAAATTATTTCCTGCCTATAACATGGATTATGTGGGGCTAATTTCATGATGCGTATTTCTTTCTAGCTGTGGAACAAACGATTGAAGTGCTTACAATGGAAATCCAGCGTGCGCATGTGGTTTGCATTGTTTATGCTGTTGATGATGAGGAAAGTTTTGAAAAAGTCAGTAGTTATTGGTTGCCATTACTGAGAAATGTCTGTTCGCGCGAGGCGCGTCGTCCAGTCGTATTAGTTGGAAACAAGACGGACCTGATCGATGTCTCAACAAATGATGTGAGATATCTTCCATATTAATTGAATATTTACATTTGTGTAGCTTTTATACATTCATATATTATGTTTTTAGCATTCATTTATGTTATGTTAAATTTTGTTTCAGCCTATGTTCAGAATCATGGAAGAATTTCCAGAGGTTGAAAGCTGTGTAGCGGTAAATTATTTAATAGTCCATAATTATATCTTGTAAAGCTGTTTAATGTATTAGCTTGGTCACGAAGTGTTGCTCATAATATAATGGAAGGAAAGAATATAATTTGATTATGTGACTTTAATATGGCAGGTTTGCCTGTTATGGTTACAATAATTTATTCTCAGTTAGGCTAAGATATTGTGCGTAATTTGTGATTTGAGTCCTGTAGTGTTTCCTCAAGTATCGTGTCAGCTGATGTATACTTGAGCAAAGTGCAATATTATATCAAATTACTAGAAATTTCTCGTCAAGATATTTGTTACCTTCACAGGTCTATGTCAAAGTATATAGTAGTTAAGTTTCTTATTTTGAAAATAAGGTAATAAATAAAATTTGATTTCCTCGATTCTTATACATGATAATTTTAGCAGTTAATTTTTTTATTATCTGTAATTTGAAAATTTTTAGGTTTAGTAGCGCAACACACTTATAGTTTGTGTGTCATGTAACTTTTTTTTTACTGTTCAGATTACTGATTATTTTATAGTAAATGTTTGGCCACGAAGCAGTTTACCAACATACCAACATACATTTAGGGTGTAGTACTATCAGTAACATTCTGAGTTTGGTATTTCTCTTTAAAGTGTTAGCCTGTAAAGTGAATTTTCAGTTCTCTGTAGTAAGGAGTCGACTGTATGTTGCTTTAGGTCGCCTTGATGACACAAGTTATTTGTTATTAGTCTGTGATGTCATTATTTATTGGTACTGAGAGGTGGGTTAAAGTCATCCAGTTTCTGAGTGAAATACGTCAATCAAAGTTTGATTTTTCTGCATTTGTATTGTATTGATGCGAGCTGACACCGATAATGGTTTTATCTTCTAGTGTTCAGCCAAAACACTGAATAATATTTCAGAGATGTTTGTCTACGCTCAGAAAGCTGTGCTGCATCCGACGTCTCCATTGTATACATTTGATCAGCAGCAAGTAAGTATGGGTAGAGTATTTCAGATTAGCCTAGTTTCGTCCACACCTGAAAAGAAATTGTCAAAAGTAATGCGGTATTTGTCCGTTCCTAACTGATTCCCGGCGGTGCCCGAATTTGTAACTTGTGTTGGGCAAGGCTGTGGTCTAGGCAACACGGAGTTTTCCTCCGTGGCATCCCAACAATTACTCCATTCACACACACAGAAGAAGGCAATGGCAAACCACTTCTGGATTATCTGCCAAGAACGTATATGAACAGGTCCCAGTCCGAGAAAAGGATGGAAGGATCCTGTTCATATGGACCTGTCGTCAGACAGTACACTAAATAAATAATAAAATAACATGAAACACCGGCTGCAGAGTAGCTATAATATATCCGTTGTACCTTTGGACTTATGCCTCTTTACCTAGTGTTTTTCGAATTATGATATGATACGGTTAGTGTGATGTTGGTCTTGAGGCTTGTAACGCCACCAGCGTTTCGCAGAAGCATATTTCTCCCATCGTTGGTATCTACGTAAGGTCCATGCAATACAAAGACCATCATCGTCGTTTTTACCGCCGTGACATCAGATCACACCTTAGTTATTTGATTAATTTTCATATTATCATCCCATCTATGCCTAGATCTCCAAGGTGGTCTCTTCCGCTTTGGTTTTCCGACGAAATTGTTGTATTTGTATCGTTGAATAGGAGATAGAAGAAACGAAGACACTTGAGATAAATCTTTCAAAGTGCAGATTTGCAAACTTAAAATCGTCATGATCACGTTACATATTTTATAGTCAAGCATTATATTTATAAACATATATGCAGTAGGTTTACAAATGTCTGGGAGAGGAACTTTGCCGTAATTTGTGTATAAAAATTTAGGTATAGATTTGCTGCCTACAAAAATTTCATTTTGACTTAATGTCATCTCCCATTGACAGTAGTATTGTGCTTCTGTTACCGAGAAGGTGCATCCCTACTCTTAACTACAGTTAAAGCATGACTATTTGATATTCAATGATGCTCTCGGTAGCTCAGACTGTACACTAGGATGATATGCTAGCCGCTAGTTAATAGAGTTCTCTATTTAAAGCTTAAAACATTTGTTTTCCTTTCCTGAAAAGTTGGGTTTTATAGATAGGATAATTTGATTGCAAATTAGTAACGCAAACTGAAACTTTTGTTGTCAATGTGGACTACATAGAAATCTTATGTAAGTGATTTGTTTGTTTTCTTTTACAGTTGACTGAAGCATGTCAGAAGGCTCTCGTTAGAATTTTTAAGGTAAGAGGTATTAGATTTAAAAGCAGGCTCATTGTGATTGGAATGTGGCAGTAGTTTATATGCAAGTGTTTTCCTGATATGTGTTGCAAGAACGAGTGAATCCTACACGGTCTATTATTAAAGTAATTAGATTGACGATGAAAGATTCCTGGGTTACAAGTCGTGTCAGGTGGCTGAACGGTGAATAAACCATATCTTCTGGCAACATTTTGAGTTCAGTTTCTGCTGTCATCCTCCGGCTTGTAGCGCGGGATTCATTCGCCGCAAATGTTTCATTTTATAATTAGAATGATGTTTTCATTCACGGTGATTGCAGTGGGCTAATGAAAGAAATCATACGTACATGTGTATCATATTGAGTAAAGAGTGAATATTTCTCTCTTTATAAACAACAAAATGAAACATTTAGCAAGCATCAGATTCTGTTACATAATTTTTATGGGAATATTCATGTTCCATTTTAAAATAAATTTTTATTTTATGCTTCATACTTTGATTAGTGAAGCAATTAAAGTTGTGTTTTTGTTACGTTCTGTAGCTGTGCGACGCGGACAATGACGGACTGTTGAATGACGTCGAGTTAAACAGTTTCCAGCGTCACTGTTTTGGCGCTCCTTTGCAGCCAAGAGTCTTGGATGATGTGAAAGTGGTTTTACGTAAAAACATTTCTGATGGTGTAGTCGATAATGCCATCACACTCAGAGGTATTTCAGAAAATGTAATACTACGTATTGAATTACTTACATGTGCCGTGGTGATTGATATATTTTTTGATAAGGAGAATAATTTTGTTTTCGTAACTGTGTTAAAATATGGACACGTCTCATGCAAGTATAATATCTGTGCTGTTAAAATAAGACGAGTCATGTGAATGAAACAAGAAGTTGTATTTGATGGTTGTTTTTACATTTTTGTCAGTATGATTACTGTTGTGATTTTGCTTTTTAGGATTTCTGTTCCTTCATTGTCTTTTTATCCAGCGAGGTCGTATTGAGACGACATGGACGGTTCTGCGAATGTTTGGATACATGGACAACCTTGAGATATCAAAAGAGTTCCTTCGACCTCAGTAAGTGTGCAGGTAGTATGTACAGTGACCAATCATTTTGGTAATGTTATGATATGGTGAAACGATGCGGCTTGTGTTTGTTTATGTGCTATTTAGTATAGGACCCTGTGGCATATGTGTAACTCGAGTTCTGCGTGCAATAAGAATTGTCTTTATATTATAATTCACCTTGTTTATTTTTATATGTATTTATCTTTATCGCTGCTTTTATAGTGTTCATATTTTTGTTTCTTTTTTTATGATTATCAGAATTGAGTGATTTCTGACAAAATCTTTCTGCATTAAAATTTTAAGAAATAAATACCTAACATTTTTGCCTTCGTCGTGTTGTTATTCAGGAATTATCTTGTGCAGGAACATTCTCATATTATTGATAAATTTGTTTATGATTAAGCACAGGTTTCAATTACTGGACTTATTAGTGTACAGTGTAAAAGGAAAGCACAAATATACCTTTATTTTCCAATATGTTGCTTGTGCGTGGCGTAGATTATTTTTTATTTTAATTCTATGGTACAATGTTTTTTATTTTGAAAGCCCACAGGATGTAACTCTTGTGTTCTCGAAACAGCATCGTTGTTCCTGCGGGCTGCACTACCGAACTATCCCACAAAGGTCAACAGTTCTTGTTGACAGTGTTTGAACGTTTTGACTCCGATAGAGATGGCGCCCTTTCACCAGCTGAAGTACGCAGTTTGTTTACGACGTGTCCTGTACCCATGTGGGGTCCTGACATCCACCGTACTGTTCCAACAAATTCGAAGGTGTTGTATTTTATTATTATATTTCTGTATCAGAATACATTCATTGGTTATAGGTTATTGATTTTTCAGTTTAATGTATTTCTAAAATGGTGGATCAGCCGTGTAATAGGAATGGGGCTGAATCTATTGAGATTATTTATTTAGTAAAATCAGTCCCTTTTCTGTAGAAAAGAGGGTAATGATACTTTGAGGTTATGTTCAATAATTTTGATGTACTTTTATGATATTCTTTTGTATTAAAAAAAAGGTGTTGATATTTCCATGAGGAACAGCAATGAATAAGTAAATTCAACTACCTACTTGAGAAGCTGTTAGTATGCTCAGCTAGTCAGGAGGTTCCTTGCTTTTCATGGAACCTGAAGGCTCATTACATGTTCTCAAGAGTGCGTATGTTCTGGTGTATTATTTAGGAACTTGCAAACTTGAGTCAAAATAACAGCTTTCTTATTTTAAGACGCATTTTTGAATATGAATGTTTGAATGTTGGATGCTCGTGTATATATCTGATGTGTTCAACTGAGAAGAATCTTTCATTCTCTACAGGGCTGGATAACATTACAAGGTTTCATGTCGCAATGGGTACTTGTCACTTTGCTTAATCTGCCAAGAGCGCTGGAGTACCTAGCATATTTAGGTTACCCTATTTCTGAGACTGAGAATCAGCTATCAGCAATACAAGGTCAGATTACAATGACGTTTGTGTTAGAAATGTAGCATTTGTTATAAATTGTGACAGTAATTGAAGTCTACTGCTGCCTCTGTTATTATTGCTAATTATGTGAGATCCTCATGGACCCAACAAGTTGTTACACTGTGCTTTCTCTGTGCAGTGACCAGAGATAAGAAACTGGACTTGGCCAAAAAGCAAAGTAGTCGCAGCGTTTATCAATGTCATGTGATAGGCCCTCCTGGATCAGGGAAGTCCATGTTTTGCCGTAGTTTCATAGGAGATAACGTGGAGGTAATTTATTTTAATTTTAATAAACTATGTTTTTGTTGTATTAGCAAATGTTATGATTTCAAAAAAGAGTAACTATATTAATCTTGCACTGTTGTACTTTGGAAAGTTACGTTTTATTACAATTGGTATATAGTTTTTAACATTTTATTAAGTGGTATAATGTGTTGTGTTGAATAGCTTCTTGCGATATATTTTGTACTTACTGAAAGCAGTATGTGAGGTGAAACAGCTTATTTATAAACCATGGGATTAAATTTTGCTAGATTTAACAGAAATGACATTAGCATAACACATCTATGCACGCACTACACGCTACATGGAAGACCGCGATCTACATTTTCATAACTGTAAAACCTTAAAATCTCACATATTAAAACTTTTTAAATCTAAATAAGTTTCAGATCTTAAAATCTCACATATTACAACTTTTTAAATCTAAATAAGTTTCAGATAATTATTTTGTTGGTGCGATGTTTTATTGCTGTTCTTTTTGTATTGTTATTTATTGCATTTCGTTGGCAGAGCATACAGTTGTCAGAACTGGAAGGCAGTCCTCAGTGCACTGTTAATGCAGTTCAAGTCTATGGTCAGGAAAAATTCCTTATCCTACGAGATATCGAAGTGCACGATGTGTTGGAGCCACTTAAGCCCTCGGAAGTACAGTGCGATGTTGCTTGTTTGCTGTATGACGTCAGCAATCCAAAGTCTTTTGAGTATTCTGCGCGCATCTATCTAGTAAGTGAAAACAGTTGTTTATTTCCCAATTGTGAACTGGTGGTTATGTATTTGATTAATCTTTGCATTTTCTCATTACAACAAAAGTTTGATGACCTACACCTTGCATCTCTCTTTGCATAAATGACCTCTGTTTTCGTAGAGGGCGGAAGAGGAGGGAGGTTACACTTGCTGGGAGAAGTTATTCTTGGACACTCCCAAAATGCCTCTCGCTGTTGAGGAGGTTACCTTCCTTAAAATTTTTATATTCCACTATCACCAATCATTCTCAGTGATTTGAACGCTTGTACTGTCGTCAGAATTACAATGTGATTGTCTGTTGTTCCGGCTAACAGATAAATGTATAGTAACAAAAAATGAAAGCTTCAGATATAAATCATCTATGCAGTGGTATTTTCTTACATCCTCTCACTTTGTATCTCTGATTTTTGATACATGTAATTATATTGACCTTTTAGTCTAATAATAATAGTAATATTTTTTTGTTTTAAACCAGAAATACTTTGCTGATAGCAAGATTCCTATCCTCATAGTTGCCACTAAAAGTGATCTGGAAGAAACACGTCAAGATTATTTACTTCAGCCAGCTGCTTTTTGTAGTCACCATAAATTACCGTCACCTCAGCCATTCACTGCATCTGGAAAAATCAAGAGGGAGATCTTTGTTAAACTGTCAACCATGTCTGCCTTCCCGTGAGTATTGGACGTAAATTATATTTGCATAGAAGTAGGTCAGACCTTGTCAGAGTGCACTGAACATCACAGACAAGTGGTAAGCATTTCTGCTTTGTATTTGGGAGGTCCCAGTTTCAAATCTTGGCGTGAAGATCGACTGTCCTGATTTTTTTCCATGGTTTTTCTAATTGCTACAGGAATGGTGCAGACCAAAAAGTCTTCCACTAAACAGAGCAGATGAAATACATGAAAATACAAGTTTTTCACATGACATATTTACATATCCGGGGTGGTATTTAATTACAAACAGAATTTTCTTGTTTGGAAAGATCATGTTGTATGTATTAATACTCTGGAAAGTGTGAATCTGTGTCTTACCATCATATTTATTCAAGTATCGAGACTTCTTAAGATAACGTCATGCTGATATCACATGCAAGCAGTGGATCTGTCTCATGCGTGCCTCTGAAATATAGTTTTAAAATATTTTATGTGCAGAAGTAAATTCCTTTGTTTACCACTGTGAAATGAATCTTTTGAGCCCGAGATGGTGTGAAATGTTCTCTGACGTAGTACGATCAGTATGTTGAGGTTGTGAGAAAATTACAGGTAGAAACTATTAATGACGCTTTCATATGTTGGCTTCTTTTATGTTTATTTGTGTGGGTCTAAGTCTTGCATGCCATCCCAGTGAGTGGGCAGATTGTAATTAAGAATTGTGATAGCTCAGTAACTAATAGAGCACCTGTCCAAACAGACATGTTGTCATGTTTGGTATCCTAAAGTTGCAACATATTTTTACTTTTGTAAGGCAGTTCAAAGTTTGTAATTACAGTGTTCTGTCTTATTTATAAACACGTATACCACGCGTCCTTCCCCTCTCATTTCCTAGCCAAATTATTTCTTGTGTGGCAGGTGGTAATACTGGTGAGACAATCCCTGAAGGACTTTCTTATGTTTGAAACTAGAAGGTTCATTGAAAGGATCCCATCTTAAATTTATTGAAGGCGTTTGCAGGTGGATGACGTTTGTAGTGATAACGCTTTCAGATGGTATTTTCAAATTTGCAGGTAGATGACTTTTGTGATGATAACGCTTTCAGATGGTATTTTCAAGCAGGACAGAAGTGTATCAAATCAGAATAATAGTTCTTTGATCATGACAGCAATTAGCGATAAAGTAAAAGTGATCACAGAATTAGTCTGGCTACTTTATTGTCAGCCCTGAGTATCATAGGTGTAAATAATGTTCTTTCATGAAATCACAAACAACATATTAATAATTTTCCTTTCCTGCAGTCGTTTTCAAGCTGCCTGGATGTTGTTCTACAGGCACAGGTTCGTATTCTTATTGATTTTAATGAGTTTGGTGCCCGTATTGTATTATTTGCAGCAACCTTCGCCGTTTGGTTCATGTTCTTCTCCTACGTCCGTCACCTCGTCAGTGGTTCACTCACTGTTTCAGGTCCAACAGTTTTTAAGTTTGTAATGTGTGACTTTTTGTCTTGTAATTTACATATAATTGCTGTAAGAACATATACTTCGCATGTTTAAGTCATACATTTGTTCACTTCGAGATGCTGGTAGGCAGGAAAAATATTTCATTCTGTTGCTAGCAATAAGATAATCTTGCATGTGTGTGTCTGGTGTTAAATTTTGTAGTTTCACGTGCTGTATAGGTACAGTTAACGACCACGACATATAGACGCCTCATACAATATGAAAATTAAAGAATCGCAGTACAATATCTGGTTAATGGGAATCATGATTATTTTAATTGTTCCTCAAAATTAATGACATAACTGAATAAATATAAAGAAATAATTTTATTGTGAGATTCACAGTGTATCACAAAATATTGATTATTTTAATTTTGTTCGGTATGGATTCAACACCCCATCTTGTACTGTGTGCATATCAGATGTTTAAATTAAATTATTTTGATTATTAAGTAGATGATTAATATCTGCATTACGTAAGGATTCCCTTACTTCATTCTAGTTTTGGCATGTTATGTGTCCTTAAATGTGCGGTGCTCGTACTGTCTTATGGTAAATGTACCTGTGTCTTGTCGTGTTTAATATGGAGAGAACTTTTATTGAATAGTGACTTTAGTGTTTTTGCAGTAGTTTTATAACTATGCTCTTGGGAGATGCATGTAGCTGAACAGATTAGCTGGTTATAGCAGTATGCAATAATTGTTTTATTCTTTGTGTGTAGTTAAGTTTCAAATTTATGTTGAGTAAGCTTAACTTATTGAAGATAAATTACTGTGTGACTTTGTTTCCTAATTCATTGAAATTATAATACCCATATGCATTGACGGACTGTTTGTAGCTTAAATGCTTACATACATTAAAACCTTTTTTTTTTTTCAAGTGGCATATTCTTAAATCTATTTAAATTGTAAGTTGAGGATAGCCATTTAGTAGTTTACAGCTTTGTGAGCCACTAACCTTTAGAAGATTTCTAAAAAATCTGTTATCATACAGAATTACAGAATCCTACATTTGACTAGTGCTGGTGTCACACCTGTTTTGAAATTTGGAGCACGTCCCATATTCATATTTTTGGAGTTATATGAGATCTAGGTGGCAACTGCATTATGACCTCAAAAGGCATATATTTTTGCATTTTTTTTTAGTGTTTGCTATAATACACCTGTCTTTTTGTATGTGCGTTACAGACACTTAAAACAACTTGGTCTTCTGAGCGGTAACTCGGCAGTGTGGTGGAAGGCAGGCCTCGGAATCGTAGCGGCTACAGCCGTTGGTCTTCTTGTTGCGAAAGCTCTCCACTCGGATAAATGATAGTCTTAACTTGGAAAATCTCCAAGTGTTCGGTTCTGTGTGTTATAGTGAAAACGTGCATGACACTCGTGACAATGAACAGGAGTTATTTTATATATGGTTATTTTTACAAGAAATCTGAAAATCACTGGTGCTTTAAAAATGCCAAAACATTACTATTGATATAGCATTGTACAATGAGTTTATGCAGTAAATATAGCTTAAAAGTATTCAAGGAAAGTACAAACTAAGTAAATTTTAGTGCTGCATTTTACATTATGAGTGCATAATGTTGAAAATATATAATTTAATATAGCATAGATCTCAAATACACATAAACCTCCTTACAGTCCTTTCATGTCCCTCGGTAAGTAGCTTTAACATTACTTTTGTATTTTCTCATTAAGAATTTTACAGAAATATGTTGTAGTTTGTTTAAAGTCTGATACTTTAATATTTGTCTTAATGTTTTTAAATGACTCATCTTGAGGAGATATCTATTGTTTGGATGTAGGTATGTATTTTGTTGTCATCATTGATTGTGATTTATAAATTAAACTATAATTAGGTGTTTTATTTACTAAAATTAATTTAAATAAGGAGGCAATCCATTCTGAAAGTAGGTGATGGTCATCTTGATTTCATAAAACAAGATTTCCTTACGTTTTTCTGTAGTCATGTGGTAGACCCACAAAAAAAAACTTCTCTATATTTCACTTATGACTAGAATTTCTTGTATTAGAAGTTTGTAATAAAATTTCTTCATTTCATATCAGATTATTGAGTGGTTTGCTGGGTTCATACTTTCTTCAGAGTGTTCTGTTTACAATTTGTAAAATAGAAATTTCCTTGACGAAGCAAAAGTAAAAGTATTTCAACAAGTAATTATCTGTAAGCACTGGAAGTGAAGCTTTGATATATGTTGACACACCACAATTTACTTTTGTTTATTGTCATTTTAAGTTATAGTAATTCATAATAATGTTGTTTTGCAATATATGTGTATATTACTTTTTATACAACTGATGTCTTAGCCCTTCATATTTTGCACCAAAGAATTCACAGACTTTACTCTGAATTTTTGCCTTTGGATGAATGAAAGTGTAATGTTAACAGTTTGCTTTGCTCATTGAGTTTTAAGCATTAAAAGATAGTGTTTGGAATGAAAGTCATCAGCTTCATGTTTTGGCCATTATAATAAGTGCCACACAAGTTGGAAAGGAGCCTTGGATGGGGATTTGAAAAATAACAAAATTCAGGCCGGAAATGCAGCCTGACTTTTACGACGTAACCAAATATTTGGTTTTGAATTTTTAGTAATTAGAAGTAAAATTTATTGTAAATTATTTAATTCCAACCTACATCTCTTTATGGTTGAACATACAGGTATATTTTGGATTTGTCAGAAATTTTCATTTGTAAAGTGGCAGGTCTGTTTGTCACAGGCCGGCCAACAGGAGGTGATTCTATGATTTTAATGAGTGACTTAAAGAAGTACTCGCTTTCCATTAGACTATATATTTTTATACCTGTGTCTTTACAGAAGTTAATGCAAGTATTAAGAATTAGTATTTTACGAAATTTATGTTCATGTAATCTGAGCTATAATTTGTTCGGTGTTTGGTGACCCTGTCCAGCGGGCAATGACGTCATAACGTGGTAGGTGTTTCTTTTTACCCGTAAACGTGAAACGTGAATGTAGGGTTGTGTTGAAGAAATAAATCGGAGGTAATCGTGAAATTATACGTTGATTTGTATTTAATTTCTTGTGGGATGCTTTTAAAACATCTTATATAACATTGTTGTTTAGTCGTCGTGTACACTTTTCGTATTTATCTAGTTTGATAAGTGTCCTAAACATGTAGAGGTTGACTAGTGTAACTTATGTTTATATTTACTAATAAAAATTCGTTGTTTAATTGCAGCAATGGTTCGTATGAATGTATTAAGTGATGCGTTGAAATCCATCAACAATGCTGAAAAACGAGGAAAGAGGCAAGTTCTCTTGAGGCCATCTTCGAAGGTTATAATCAAGTTTCTCACAGTAATGATGAAGCATGGTAAGCTTTACCTATTTTGAAGTAGTGAAAGTAATTATCTTGGTTGCATTTTTGTAACACAGGAACTCCTGCTCGTAACACTTCGCTTTATTGTTGAAGGTTATGAGACATTTTTAAAAGTGATTAAAATATGGGTTCTTTTGAATTGGTCCAAAGAGATGGCACCACCAAAATGTTACAGAATTGATGGGTGCTTTTACCTCATTAGGTGGTGCCTGTCCATTTTTTATGTAGTTCTGGATTTGACACATACTTTAGAACTTTGTGTTTTCCAGAAAGCACTATCTCGTGCGCCGTGTTCTGTGTGTTGTTTAATTATTTTTTCAGTATTGCATTTCCTCCCATAAAAGTGGAACTTAATATCCATTTACATTTTTCTGATTTGTTCCCAAAACATGCACAATTTTGCTCACTGATAGAGTTCATTCAGTTCTCATCAAAACACCTTGTATATAAGATTTCAAGCTTTGAACTCGAAACATTAAGGGATGACGGAGGTATTGATGGTCTTCGAAATCTTGCTTACATGCCTTGTTGCCTGATAATTGACTTCTGTGTATCTTACTGAAAATGTGTAAAATTGGATTAAAGGTAATATTTAAAAAAGATTAATATATGTAATTTGTGTTCTGAATTTGGGGAAATGGTTTAGGTCACATTATATTACATTGAACAACTTCCCAGATTACCACGATTGAAACTCATGAAAGCACGCGAACATCAAATTGTAAGACGTTATGTTATATGGAAGTCATGAACTTGTTTGTTGGGGCACAGCAGATTTCCACTCGAATTTCAATACCTGTGCTCTGAATGTTGACTGATACAGACTTTATGTGTGAACCTTTTTTTTACGCTTAACAGGTTATATTGGAGAATTTGAAATTGTTGACGATCATCGTTCTGGTAAAATAGTCGTAAACCTCACTGGTCGACTGAACAAATGCGGAGTTATATCACCAAGGTTTGATGTTCCTATCAATGATATAGAGAAATGGACCAACAACCTTCTTCCGTCACGTCAGTTTGGGTATGTTGTCGTATTTACGGTTCACTGAGCTACCTGTTGTTTTGTGGGATTTCCAAGTTCTTATGGCAGTGAAGATGACTGTCTTCTGGGATGCTGCGCTGTGTAGTCTGGTAGAAACTGGCCAGCATTTCGGAGATTCTTACCGCCTCCGTCAGACTGACATTTTAGAGGTGGTTGCTGTCATCGTAATCTGGCAATGAAACTGATTTCCTGTGAGACTATACGCAGCGCAGCATCCAAGAAGACAGGCCCGTGTTAAAATTAATGATCTGTAAAGAGCTTGAAATTCTTTTTAATGTCATCGTAGTTAATTTGTTTTTTTTGGAAGTAATTAAGATTTTCTGTTAAATTGATTGAGTAATAAAGTTAATTTGGTTTTTTTGGAAGTAATTGAGATTTTCTGTTAAATTGATTGAGTAATTTGTAGGACTTAGTTTTCAGTTTCAGGATTAATTTGGTGTTTTTGTAGCAGTGATTTTACTGTAATTCTTGTAGAATTTTAAGATTAACTCTGTATCATCATTGTATAACTTTGTAATACCCCGGCCCACACAAACTTCCATATTCAGACGCTGAAAGTGGAATGCCCCTTGCTATGACTATGAAAGTTGTGTGTGATTCATCAATGTATTTGACAAGTCTTTTCAATTTTCTTTTAGTTATGTTGTCTTGACAACAAGCGGTGGAATTATGGATCACGAAGAGGCAAGGCGGAAACATCTCGGTGGGAAGATTTTGGGTTTCTTCTTTTAAACAGAAAATGTGAACTGTAAAATAAAAGTTGTTTACAAGTAATGAATTTTTGTTTATCTTCTTCGTTTATATCCTTCAGTCCTTTACTTTGAAATGAAGGTTGTTGCTGTTTTGTGGCTTCAGGTGGGAGCAGCAAACGCTACGTGAGATTTCAGGCTCTCTCGGTGGTAAGTCAGCTGGAATATTGCTCCATGTAGTCTCATAAAATTGACTGACGTTTAATCACCATGATGAATGCAGTAATTGTGTTGAAACATCAGTTTATATGAGGCTATATGGTGCAACATCCCAGGTTAGAATCGCATACGTAGCAATAACAACTAATTAATCTTTGTGTGTCAAAATGAAGTGCATTTCTGTAGTAGAAGTTTAAAACATTGTCAGTACACTTGGTTGTATTTGTACTAGTTTTAACCTTACACATTTTTTTGGGAGTAGTTCTCATAATAGCACATCTGTAGCAGGTTGAATTGTACAATTAGTTTACCTGCATGAATTGCTAGAAGGCGAATTAAGTGAATGTGTTCAGGTTTTAGGAGAAACGTACTTTTTTCCTCCTAAGATTTGCATTAGTGTTTTTAGGAATGCTCAATAGATGGCGTTGTTGTACCAGATAGTGTTGCCATCTTTACTGCTCCCATCGGGCGGTTAACTTTAAAATATTGTTTACAAATATCCATTTTGCGGTTTCGTGTTTTGAAATGTTCCAAATTAAAAATGAAGGAAAAGAAAGTTTTTATACAAATTTTAAATTCTTGTTCTGTAACACATTTTGCAAGAAGAGACTGTTCTGGTTCAGCATATTTTATTTTTATGCATATTTTTGCCGTTCTTTAGTTGTGTTGCAGTTGTGTTTGTGCTTTTTGTGTGTGCGATACGTTGGGAAAATTTGAAATAGTGGAATCAAAACTTTTGTCTTACCCCTCCCCCCCTCCAACTACTTTTTGCAAGGAGTTTAAACATTACTCAAACGCGCATGCGCGGAGCGTTTCAAGCCTTGCTGGACGCCGGCATTCCAGAAAGAGTAAGTGAACGAGTAGCATAGGAGAGAAAGTGTATGTGTGTTTCAAGTTTTGCAGTCCTTCGCGTTATTAATTTAGTAAAATGCGTCCTTGTATGTAAAAATGATAAATCAATCTCGTGCGATGTACGTTGGAAATGTGCAGAAAATAAAGTCTTTCGTACTAACTGGGAGGCCATTACTTTAATTTTTACAAATTCAAAGGTGACGTTCAGTGTGCCACAGGTGTGCTCAAGGACTATGTAGTAACGTACGGTAACTTTGTTATAGTAACGCGGTGGAACATTTTAGTTACGTGTAATGATGTGGGGACTGGTGTGTGATTGTGGGCACTAGTTCTGTTGATTTTTTGACATTGGAAAGTATTGTTTGCGGTCGACAGGTGTGCTTACGTTCTGTGGGTGTCTCATCCGGTCATGTCCTGTGGACAAAGAATTCCCAAAACTGTGTGTGGGAAGATGGAGGAGAATGAAAGGAACTTTCCGACCAATCGGACGTTTCGAATAAGCAGTACTTTTCTGCCGAAAGCTTATCATCGGTATTTACTAACGACAGCTATTTTTGTTGCCTTCTGCACGGCATCTTTCGCCACCGGTAAGTGTAATTCGTTATGAACATTTCCATCATAAAGAATAAATGGGGTTTAAAATGTTTATTGGTGTGCGAATCTGGTAGTTTGGTTTTAATACAAGAGGTTAAATAAGGGCATTGTTAAATCAAGAATATTCTATTGCTCCGAAACCTTGATGTATGACAATTGTTTTCCATGAACGATATTTTTATAATTATATTTTGTACTTTCTCTACTATAAAAATTTGTGATTCCTCGTTGTCGTCAAAAAATGACGTCATCAACAATGTCAACTTATGTTTGTAAGACTTGAGGTTCTCACAGCGGTGAATATGAAGATTTCTGTCTTCTGTCTTCAGACTACACAGCGCAATAACCCAGAAGACAGAAATCTTCAACTTATGTTTGTTTATACTCGGCATTGTTGTGTTCCACAACAATGCCGAGTACAACACAACAATCTATCTTCTTCTCTACTATAAAAATTTGTGATTCCCCGTTGTCGTCAAAGAATGACGTCATCAACAATGTCAACTATAAACTAAGTCGATGCCCTAGTATTTAAAAAATGTCTGCCCTGACGATGTGTTCGTCCACTGACAAACTCCTGAAGAACCGAAATTGTATAGAATAAAATTGAATTATCATAGGGCTTTCTAGTACAAACCAAGGACGTGGAACACATACGAATATTTGTTTAAAATAAAATATAAATACAACTATATGATGAAGCTATTTATATAAATATTCACAATATTTAATAATTTTAACATGGAAGTATCAAATGTAAGGTAAACTATTACAGTAGATTCCGGTTAATTGGGCCATCGGTTAAACGGGGCAGTCCTTTATTTGTGAAAAATCTTAAAGAACAAACCTTTTTAACTCTTCACGTGACACTTCGCATAATAGAGGAGGGATTACCGGGGTTGGATTCCCGGCCGGGGCGTCCAGACCAGCTCTGGGGCACACCTATTGTTATGGTTATTACCTACAAGAAACACACCCTTAGAAATGTGCACCTGCATTCTGACGTCCACTGAAGAGTTGGATTGTGTCAAATTAAAATATGCATTAATCGCGTTTTTTAAGTTAATGGACCAGACACCCTTTCGTTTCACTGGGGTTTGTAAATAGCTCATTCCCCCATTCCTTTTAAGTGAAGATTGTTAGTGTTTTGATCATGGCGGGCGGCTTTATCAGCTGTCGTTATGAAAGCAGACACCCCCCAGAGGGTGTGTCGGTTGTTGAACTTTTAAAAGCCCACGGAGTGTGTTATGTGTTTTCTTGTAATTGTCAGAATAAACAGCGGGTTGCTCCCTTTAATCAAATGGTCTTTTTAAAATAGAATTTATACCGTAGTAAACCGACGTTTCGGGAACCAACTCTGTCCCCATCATCAGTTATCAGGAACCAGTTGACGCGGCTGATTGCCCGAGAAGACTTTATTGATTGTACTCGCCGCGAAAGCCTCAAATCCTGTTCTTAGGATTTGAGGTTTTCACGACGGTGAGTTCGAAGATGGCTGTCTTCTGGGTTGTAGCGCCGTGTAGTCTGGTAGAGGTGTAGCGACGTTTCAGAGGTCCTTGCTGCCTTCATCATCAGGGCGATGAGTGGCTGGTAAACTTCTGCTAGACTGCACTGCCGAAGCCTTGGGCTGCTTTAAACTTGTCTCTAAAGGCGGCAGAAATCGATTTCTCGAATGCTATCGATACTAGGCAGTTCGCCGTGAGCTTAAACCCCATCGCGTGACTACAAGAGGGAAATTTATTGACTCGGTGATACGGACGCAAAATACATGCAGCGTTTTGAGTGATAGGAAGTGAGGAATATGATTTCTAGTTCCGGTGCTGTCGAGGTATGTGTGAGCTAAGGGTCAAAGCTGGTGACCAACCTTGCGTATCACCGTGATGGTGACGCGGATTCATTTAAAAAAGAGTTATTGTAGGCGGTTTGCCAACTTTACTGTGAACGTGATTTTCTTATAGGTGAGGCTGTTATTGTGAGCCAACTCCTGAACGCATTAGTGGCACAAGGGCGAGTTTCAGATTCTGTTGACCTATTCTGCCGAGAAAACTTTGAGAGGTGACCGTGAAACAGCCGATCTTGAAATTTTTTTTCAAGCTTTAAGTGCATTGTGTTTTATTATTGTTCCTTGGCTCATTTTTATTTTATTAATTTCGCTGTAAAGGGCAGGAATAACTTCGTAGTGATCAAAATGCGGAACATCTCCTTGTATCCCAGCCACTCACTACCACTCAGGGTACGCAGGTCTGCATTCCTTTGTGTGCTGCAACCCACTTAACAACTTCCTGTACAGTACCTGGCAAAGACTCGTGAAAACACGAGGGGGCGGGGGCGGGTGTAAAGTGTCTTGTCCAAAATGCGAGCGGACTTGGAGATCCACAACTTGTACTCCTCTAACTAACTAACTAACCAACCAACCAGATGGCTTACGGAACCCGAAGGTTCATCACCGAATTAACCAAAGCCCTCCACCGGTCCCTGTCCTGGGCCAACAAAATCCAAGTCTCCCTCAACTCCAATCTCCCATAGATCCCGCCTGAGATTATCCTCCCATCTACGTCTAGGTCTCCCCAGAGGCCTCTTCCCCTCAGGCTTCCCAACCAATACCCGGTGCACACCTCTTGTCCCATCCATGCGCGCTACATGCCCAGCCCATCTCATTCTTCTCGACTTAATCACCCTGACAAATACTGGGGGAGGAGTACAGATTTTTAAGCTCATCAAATGATTATTAGTGTGATCAAAAGGACGTATGACGGAGACGAGAAATGCATGCAGAGTTTTATCCAGAAATCCTTGAGGGAAGAAAACATTTGGAAGACAAAGACATAGATGACAGCATCGTATTGAAAGTGTCTAACATTTATATCACGTGTGGATTGCATTTATATGGCTCAGGTTATGGAATAATGGCGGCCGTGTGGTATCGTAGAACTTGACTGACGTTTCAGAGTGGGAGGCAGAAAACATCTCTGAAACGTCGCTCAGCGTAATATTTCAAAAAGGCAAGTAATCTTAACGCAATGGATCTCTTAAAATAAAAATCCTCAAACGTCGTCTTATTTTAATTGTAGTAAATTCTTTAATCTAATTTCCATTTTCTACAATGTGAAATTGAACGTTATTCTCTTAAGAAGCCTCGTAATTAGACAAATAATACAAAATGTGAAGATGG